CATTGAGACTCGCTGTACCTCTAAATATACCATCACTTTCCTAGAGGCCTTATGGATTACTTTCTCTGTTGAAATGTATTTTATATGTATCCCTTGTGCCATATTTTCAATAAAAATATTGAGAAAAAAACAGAAAAAAAAGTAATATGTTCCTTGGACCAGGGGTTCCCAAACTGTTCCATGCCATGGCCCCCCAAACAGCATTAGCTGGTGGTTGGTCTGTTCCTTCGGTCTCTTTCTTGTCAAAAACCTGTCTATTTAGCGCTTGCTACGCTTGCTTGAGGAGCAGAGCAGCTTGATAAATGGCACAAACAGCCAGGTCTACACACAACGTCATCACGTCATGAATGATGTTTTGACTGGCAGGCAATCAGAAAGATGAGCATGGCAAATATCTTACTATATTTAAACGTAAATATAGTAAGATAGTTACTCACGTCAGCAGCAACTTTGTATGTCGAAGGTCACCAAAGTTAATGTGGAGTCTGTGTGTGGTTTTGCAAAAACGATGTCGGACCTCTTCTTATTACAACCGGTGATGACATGTTTAACCACATGTTCATTTAATTGCTGGCTGTCAAGGTGGCTTTGTAGATAATTGGCAAGTGTTTTTTAGAGGAAACCTGGTCTTGTTAGGAGAGACGGTGTTCATCCCACATGGGATGGAGCAGCTCTCTTATCTAGGAACATAACTAAGTCTATAAAATGACAGTCCAGAGTTGGGACCAGGATGCCGAGCTGTAGTCCTACACACTTCTCTGTGCTCCCTCTGTATCAGTTACACAACCAAAACTCCATAGACTGTGTCTGCCGTCCCTTCCAACAAACAAAAACAATTAAATGTGGACTCTTAAATATAAAATCAAAATCATCAAAGGCTATTTTAGTAAATGAAATAGTCTCTGTTCACAATATTGATTTATTGTCCCTCACTGAGATCTGGCTGCATCCTAATGAATATGTCAGCCTAAATTAATCAACTCCTCCCAGTCATATAAATACACATTCCCAGAGACTCTGGCCGAGGAGGTGGAGTTGCTGCTCCAGTCAATTAATCCTCAACCCAAACTAAGCTACAACACATTTGAAAGTCTTGTTCTTAGTCTTCCACACCCATCCAAGAAAACACAACAGCCAATCATATTTGCTGTAGTT